GTGATGAACTTCAACGTATGCTTGCTGAAGATGAATTACGAGATGCTGTTCTTTTGATATTTGCTAATAAACAGGTATGAGAATTTTTTTAGTTTAGAAGAATTTTATTATAAAACAAAAAAAAAAATTTTCATTTTACAGGATTTACCAAATGCAATGAATGCAGCAGAAATAACGGATAAATTAGGTCTTCATTCATTGCGTAATCGTAATTGGTATATTCAAGCAACATGTGCAACAAGTGGTGATGGTCTTTATGAAGGTCTTGATTGGCTTTCAAATCAACTTAAAAATGCCAAGTGAACATTGATATAACAACAAAAATAATATTAAAAAAAAAAAAATATCCATTTAAAACGTTTAAACATTGTCTCTTCTTCGTTTTTTTTTTGTTTGTTTGTCTTTTGCAAATATATATATATATTTCAACACGATATATAAATCTACTTTTTTTTTTCTCTTTCTCTTATCGGAAAACATCTAACAATGGAAAATGGTTCGATTTCTTACGTTTTATTTATTCTATCGGTCTCTTTTATTTTAAAGGTGTTCTAGTATATATATATATAAAGGAAAATTCCCATTTAACTCTAATGATCACTTCAAGTGCCCGTTGTTTCTTTCTATTCGATCATGTTTTTCGCTCTGTCTCTTTCTCGTGTTTTTTTTTTGTGCGTTTGTTTGTTTGTTGTTATTTGAAAAATTTTGTTCACTTGGATTTCTGGTCATAGAAGAGAAAATGATAATACACCATTGTCTGAACAAGAAAAAAGAAAAGCATATATGAAATAATAAAGATTAAGTAAAAAATAAAAAAAAATTATGTTTTTATTTTATTTATTTTTTTGCAGGAAATGATTAAATTGCGTTTCTTAATATTTTGTATAATTTAAATATATCATTCGTATATGAAATCAAGATCGAGATTACAATCAGTACCAATGAATACAAGGTGATATGTTACTGCTGCTAAATGCAATTTTTCTTTTTTTTTTTTTGATTATCTGTCATGCTAAGTAAAACATAACGAAGTATTTATCAGCTGAAAATCCTTGTGTTTTACGGATAATGATATTACATGAATATTTGATTATGATAAGTAGAAAAGATTCAAGTAATGAATATAAATTTAATGATAAAAACTATTGAAAGTGTTTTATAATACAGGAATCAATATTAGATATATATGTTACAATAGAAATTAAAATTCTACTAGTAGAAATTGAAATTTTATTGAATTTTAATTTTCACTACGACATATATGTAAACATGAATGTTCTCATTTATTTCTTAATTTTAATCTTATTGTTTACGTATGAAAGCAAAGCTTAACAATTTTTCTTCCAGGTTAGATTAATCTTCTTGATTACTTCGTTGATTGTTAATCATTATTCGAGACTCGTCAATCATCAACCACAAACTCTCTGTGTTTTTTTTTTGTTATACAAAATTTTCTTTGATGAGAATATATATGAATTGTCAGATTTAATTGCATACAGATATAAATCTTTTCTTTTTTATCTATATAGTATATAATTGCTATTGTTTTATCTAAATTGATTTTGTCAGATGCTTATTATTATTTATTTTTGTCTAACTACACATTGATCAAATGTAAAAATGTGTAATAGTAAATTGAAAGACTCAAGAGAATAATCAAAAAAAAGTTTTATTGAATTATATGATAAAAATGGAACAAACATTTATGTTATTTGTCATTTTGTGTCTGTAGTTTTTTTCTGTTTTTAATCATTATTAAAGATTTTCTTCTTGTATTACATCATTGACATCTATTTGATTTTCTTTTTCTTTTTTGTATTTGTCAATTACTATTTAATTTCTATTTCGAAGTGTCATTTTGTATAGAGTCTGAATATTTGCATTTTTATATTTAACTTTAAATTGTCAATAGTAATTATTTTATTTTTGTAATTTGTGTTAATTTATTTATCAATTCTTTAGCTATGATAATAACAACAATGTTATTTGATGAAAGGAATCTTTTGTTAAATTGTTATCATAGGCGGTGGAGCTACGAGACATTTGCATAGACTGAAGTTTCTCATTCCATTAGATTCATGCAGTACATCAAAATGCTTATACAAACGCTAAAATTTTTTCACCGCCTACACTAAAAAATAGTAATATTTTCGTAATGAAGCAAACTTAGAAAATGTGTTAGAGTAAATATTAAATTTTGTATTATTAAATGTTAGGTTCTACATTGTGAATGACTTGAAGTAGTGAAGAAGAAGAAGAACTGCTACTAGTCGACGATTTTGATATCGTTCTTTCCAGATTCTTTTTTCTTGTTGTTCTTGTCTGATTCTCTTTTTTTTTCTTATATGTAACATATTTATTAGAAAAAAAAGGAAGTAAACTATAAAACAGATTTACATAAAAATAGTGCAATATAAATTATAATAAAAATATTTTACATAAAATTAAGAAAAAAGCGTAAAGTATTTTATTTATATTAAAAGTATAATATATCTATTAATAATACTTTGCTGTCTTCAGGGGTTATCACCTGAAGCTAATTAATGATCGACACGTCGCTAAGCCATTGTCTTCTAAAAATTCTAAAATTATCCATAATTTGACTCATTAATATGTTTCAATGAATACATCTTTACTTTTATATATATATTGACTTATGTGATGTCGATATGGAACTAATAGGTTATTTGAAAATAAGACATTTTTTTTTATTTAAATGATTACAATAACTATTATCTATCATTGTTTAGAAATGAAGAAATAGTATAGAGATGTTGATGTATATATAGACACATGTACACAAAGACATCACGCAATGTATCTTGAAGATCAGGCAAGAATCTTTTTTCTTTCTTGTTAAAAGAATTTTGGCTGATTAATCAAGAAAAACAAGAATCTGAACAGAATAGATCCAAGAAGCTTGATTAGTATGTACCAAAACTTCAAATTAGATAAACTAACGGTTATCGAAAGTTTTCTTCGCCTTCAGTAAGTAATAGAGCTTGTCGGATCTAAAATTTTTGTAATGGAAAAATTTCAGATCCAACACCAATCTGACGAGTTCTAGTGGTTAAACTTAGTTTGCCTAAGAAACATTTTCAACAAAATGAGCAATTTCAAAATATAGTTTCTTTTTTCTTTTGTGAACAGTACTGCTTCAGCATTATTCTATTTTTCAGTAAAGTAGATCTAGAGTGTAGGTGTGGTTCTTTCCTTCTCCCACAGATTATGATATTGAGCAAATTCTTTGTCTGCCTTTTGAATTATTTGATGGATGATCAGAAAGAAATTCTGGTGGAAAATATTTATCAAATTGTTCATCTATTTTTTGCCAAAAAAGTGATCGTTTCTTTTGAATCGTAATCAGCACAAGTCATGTACAATAAATAAATATGATCAGCTTCAGATTCTTATTCACGAAAAAAAAACAAAAGGTAATGTTGCTTAATATTTTGCACCAGCACTTAGCGTTATCGTTATTGTCTATTCATATTTATTATTAGACAAATTAAGAATTAAATACAGACGAAATAGAAAAAAAGAACTAAACCTGTCTTTGATTTGGATCCATTCGAGCGAGACTTTGTTGAACTCTACCTTAGTTATTTCAGAAGGAAAAAATCTTTCAGCACCATGTCTTAAGGTAGCAAGTACCATTTCATGATTGAATACTGTAGCTAATCTTGCTTCATTTGCCTGTGGGTGTTAGTGTTCTGAAATATCATCATAATTAATAAATTTTCAATAAATAAATTCCAGTAGCTCCTAGTGATTGTGTGTAAAAATAAAAATTCCTCGCCTCTCGACATCCGAAACATTCCGGAAAGTCATTGGATATAGGCAGTGCCGGCCGAAATCAACGATCTGGATAGGCTAACATTAACCACATAATTAGTTTTTTGAATTTCTAACCCTTTATTCCATCAATCAAATTTGAACTTTTACTTTTTTTGTAAAAGACAAGTAAAGAAATTTCTTTAGATTTTAATAATCCTTTAATGATTAATTGAGTGTACATGTCTATTTAAAATTTTCATCATTTTCTATAATTATTGAATGAAAATTCGAAGCTATTCGTTTTTCAAATAGATGTTACTTATACGTCAATAAAAAAACACATGCTTGTGAATAATATTTAATAAGTATTCCATCCATAATTTATATTATAATGGGTTCTTTTTTTTTCAAAACTTTAATATTTAATTTGAATCAATTTATATTTTATTTTCTATGAATATCTAAATAATACTCATGGCTCATATTTTATTTCTTTTATAATCCCCTGCCTTAAAGGTTTCTTTGAAATACTAGCGAGTTTTTAATACTCGATAAACTCGATATTACTAGTTTCCATGAAAAGATTAACCTATTCGAAAATTCCTTTCAAAAACGACAAAGAATGCATTAGTCCTATAGATATATATCCTTTGTTATCAATCAATATTCAATTATGAAAAATTTAGCATAAAAATTTTGGCAAAAAATTAATCCTGCAGATAAATATATCGATAATAATATGTAAAAAAAACTGAGTGCTAGTAGAGCCTCAGAAAACGCGCCCTAACTACGGCCACGTTTTTTTTCCACCAGCGACAAGAGCGAATTTCTCTGACGCATCCGGTTGTGCTACGAGCCTGCCAGCGGGTGGCGAAAATGGCTCGGGCATTTGTTTAGATCACATACTATCTACTTGGATTGAAAATTAATCGAATTGCGCAATAACATATCCGTCCGCGGCATATATTCATTCTTTTTCTTACTTGATACGTAAACTATCTATATATAGATATATATATATATTTTGTCGTTCTTTTATTCTCTTTTATTTTTCGATCAAATACAACGTTTGAATTTTTATGTATTAATAACAAAAAAACAAAAGAAAAAACACACATGCTGTTCTTCTTATTATTATTATTTTTCTCTATATGAGACATAGCTCATTTGAAAACAAATAAAAATGATCGAAATTTTTTAGTTTTTTGTGTTTTTTCCTTTTTTTATTGATAATGTTTATCACCCATGCCAACTGTTAATTTCTTTTGTGCATTAGCAAGATGCTCACTGTATTCTTGAAATGGTGTTTTAGTGAATACAGTTTCTTTCCATAAATCAGGTGTTAAATATGAATAAGTCATTGCCATTGCAGCATATGTTGCTTTAGCTAAAACAAATAAAAAACAACTATACAAAAAAAAAAAAAAAAAAGAATAATCCATAAAGAAAACATACCAAAATTGCCCAGTGTGGCGGTACATCCTTTGGCTGCTGTCCAACAATCTTGAATACCAGCCATTTGAAGAAGTTTCTTTGGTACAGGAGCACATACAAGACTTGTTCCACGAGGTGCTGGAATTAAACGTACAAGTACACTACCACAAGAACCTGTTACCTAAAATAAAAACAAATGAAATAATTTAATTTTATATCGAATATTCATACTTTGCATGGAACTGTATGTGGTAAACCAATTTTATTACCCCAATAACCTCGTCGTACAGGTATAACGGAAAGTTTAGCAAGAATAATAGCACCACGAATAGCTGTTGCTACTTCTTTTGAACATTTAACACCAAGTCCAATATGTCCTTTACCATCACCAACAACAACAATAGCTTTAAAACGAGTACGTTGACCAGCACGAGTTTGTTTTTGTACGGGCATAATTTTAAGTACTTCATCTCTAAGATCAGGTAATAGACGATCGATTATATCAGCTTCCTAAATTACAAAAAAGAACAAAAACTTCATGTTAAAAAAAAAAAACTCGATTCGAAAATAAATAAACAAACTTTGATTGGTAATGAAAATAGATAGATTTCTTCGAGTGAACGAATTTTAGCATCATTAACTAATCGACCTAGTTTGGTGACAGGTACCCATTGTTTACTTGTATCGTCTTTTTGTCGTTGACCACGACGACCACGACCACGACCACGACCTATAAATAAGTTTCTATTAAAATAATATATATATTTATTTTTTTGTAAAGTATACTTTCGCCACGACCACCGCGACCACCGCGACCTGTACATATTAAATAAAGTTTTATGAAAAAAAAACGAAGAACTTTTTTGTTTTGTTCTAAAACTAACCTCCTTCACCACGACCACGACCACCTTCACCACCACGTCCTAAAGGTTTTAGAATATACAATAAAAAATTTTTCTAAAGGAAATCTTTATAATTACCGCCTCGTGTGCCAAATCCACCTCGAGTTCCACCACGTTCAGCCATATTTGATCTTGAAATTAATAATTATCTGAAAACAAAAAAAAAACATTTGTTCACATAATTCATCAGATCAATATTGATTTTCATTAATTGAATTGATATCCTTCATACCTACAAAAAAAATAAAAGAAATATTAAAATGTTGTCAACAATAAACGAATCTTGTTTTTTAATAAGAAAACAAGAGCAGGATGATGACATATTTTTATTTTATTATCCCTGCTGTGTCTTAAATGAACATAACATAACATTAGTCAATGTCCACAAATGCCAACAGGTTATTAAAATTTTTATTTTTATTTTTATTTTCTTTGTTGTCAACCTTTCAGTCTTCACTATCTATGATAAGGATAATAAGAACAGAGTACTATTGACTTTTTCTCTTTGTTTTTCTTTTTCCTGCATTCGACTATTCGTGTTCAACAAATTACATGTTGACACTTGATATATAATCGACAGGAATGTTGTTGCTTTAGAGAAATATATTTTTGTATGTCTATATGGCAAGGTAAAACTATTGTTTCTTTCACAGAGAGAAAAAAAAGAAAGAAAAATGAGGTTTTTTTTCCTTTCATTTTCATGATGTATATGTCTGACATGTTCGCATCTTAGCAACAGAACAAACATAAAAAACAGCTCTTTTCTTGTAGAATCTACAACATAAATTCATACATACAATAATCGATTACACGAAAAGCTTCTCATACCAGAAATTTAAAAAAAATGTTATACATACCAACATCAACATTAGCTACACCAATAATTGTTCAACAAACTCAAACAATACCAATACAAACAACAACAACAAGTTATTATATGTTACCAACAATAACTCCAATAGTACCAGTTCTTAGTACAGCATTTCTTTATCCGACATATCGTGTTACAACAAAACCGATTGAAAAAATTGATACTGAGAAATCTCAAACTTCTGAAGGTATCTTTTTGTTTTTTTGAAATTAATAAAATACAAAAAAACTTTAAATTATTTATTTAGTTAAACAATCAGTTCAACATATTATACATCATCATCCTACTCCTCTTCCAACATGTTCAATAAAACATTGTCCTGGTTATTGTGAATTATGTTGTCCATGGATAAAACAATCACCTGAACGACAAATACGATCACGATCACCTGAACGACAAGTACGATCACGATCACCTTCACCACCAACACGTGATCAACAACGATATTCTCGTCGTGATGAATACGATCAATCAAAATATAATACTTATAAAGATGAAACAATCGATGAAAAAATCGATCGTATTCGACGTGAATTAAATTTAAGTTCATCTTCAAAACATGATAAATCAACAGAAACAATTGATTATTATCATCCCACAGCAACAACAACAACAAAAACAGCCACTACTACTGAACAACGTATTCCATATAAACAACATTATGATCCACCAAAACCACGACCACGTAGTACATCATCACAGAGGTTAATAAAAAAAATAAAAAAACAATCAGATTTTTTTTTTCTTTATAATTTCTTTTTTCTTTTTAGATCATCATCATTACCACGTGAACCATGGCGTTCAACAAATCAAAATGATTATTCATGGCGTGATGCTCATTTACCAGCATATCGTCAAGCAACATTAGATCGTTCACAAACACCTAGTAATGAACGTCATCAATGGAATGAAACAGCTCATCAACGTAGTCATTTAAATACACAAAATCAATCATCATATTGTACAAATAATTATATCTATCGACCAAAATCAGAAACTGAAACTCGTAAATATTATACACAAACAACAGATAAAAATCCTGATTGTGAAGTTTATCAAAATATAGCATCATGGTGTAATAAACAACAACAACAACAACAACAACAAACAAAAATGGATCATTCATTTTATTCGGATATACCAACAACAACATTAAAACAAATTGATTGTACATCATGTCATAGAAATGATGATAATTGTTTACATATTGTACCTAAATATGGTAGTACATTAGATCCACCTTATTTAAAAATTTTTAATGCACCTGTAACATATCTTCATTAATTATTTACATATTATTTGACTATAATTGAATTTATTTTATTTTTGGCTTGCTCTCTTTCCTTTTTGTAGTACAAAATATGGCCCTTATTCAGAATATTTATATATAAATTTTTTTGAATTTCAAAAAAATAAAAAGATTAGAATTTTTTTACGAATTTTCTTTTTCTGTTTTTTGTAAAACAACAACAAAACAACAAAACATTTCATTTCTGACATCTATCGAAAAATGACCTAATATTAATATCATTTTAAATTATGATTTGAATTGCTAATAAAGTTCTCTAGTAAATATATGAACGCTTCATAGTCGAACTATATGCGGAACAAGTTTTTAGATTTCAGAAGACGTCAGTTACATACAAACGAACATAAAATATAAAGGGTCAATGAGTTTTTTTTTTTACGAACATCATAACAAACGTAAAAAAAAGCAAAAGATAACTACAAGATTTTTACTTCAGAATATGAGATATGTAGGACTGTAAACGAATAGTTCTTCTACGAAATGGTGCAAGTTCTATTGCGATTTCCATAGAGAGCGCCACATCTTCAACTAAACGTATTAAATATGGTGCCCTATGCAATAGAACTAATTAACTACAGGAAATCTTCCTCTACAAACCTACATAGATCTCGCGTGCTGGAATTATAAACTTGCAATGTAGTGACGGAAACAGAGAGAGCTTATGAAAGAATCGCCCGAAATGATTCACCACTTTTGAGCTCATATAGACGGAACCTCTAGATTAGAATAACCCTAAGAGGATGTCTCCTCTACAGATTTATAACAATTTTAGCCTATGGTACGGCATGTACAAACAAATTGACTGACGTTATTCACTTCGGACGGTTCCCTCGTAAGCATTAAAATAAACTTGTTCTTATAATTTGTACTAGTACTATACTTTCCATGAAAACACACGTAAATATTCTATGATTTCGTTCTTATCTATTTCCATGTTTGAATATCATTATAGATATTATATTATCAATATCGACAGAAAAAAAATAAACATCATTCTGTCTTGTTTTTTTCATCATAATAAAACAAAGAATATAATCTTACCGGAAAAAAACAAAACAAAAAGTATTCTTCGATCAAAATTGATAATCTGAAATAAAGATGAAAAACATTATTGATAAATAATATGTTATTATCTTTAATTTGTTCTTATTTCATACATATACATACAAACTGAAGAATGAAATATAATTATATATTTTTTTAGAAAAAAAAAAATTGAACTTTGTCACAAATTTCTTAGCCAACAATAAGCGACTACACACAAATATATATATATAAATATATACACATACAATTAAATAAACATCTATGAAATCGAAAAAAGAACTGTTTTAATAATATTAAAAAAAAAAAAGATTATTGCAAACAGAAACACACACACACTAATCATTGATAGTAAGGAGATCTTAAAGATCTGACAAATAAGCAAGTACATGACAGAATTACAAAAAAAGAAAACTAACAGACAAAGACATTGTTGCACAAGGAATGTTTGATGGTTTTAAAAAAGAAATCATTGAGCAAATAGAAAAATCGAGTACTAAGAAATAATAAGTAGAGATTTTCGTGGTGAATGAGTAAATTCAACACTAGCTGAACGTCGTAATGATAAAAGTGGACCTAATGACTGTTGTTGGGATGAGATTTGATAAGAATTTGATATTAATTGAGCTTGATTTGATTGATTTTTTGGTATAGATAATGATTGTTGTTGTAAACGATTATTAACTAATGATAATGCTTCAAGTTTAATAGCTTTTTCTTTGGTTAATAATTCATCAGGAAATGATATTTTATGTTCTTTAGCTAATTGTCGTAAATCAAAATAATATTTTGCATATATTGATGAACAAACATTAACATTAAATTGAAGTAATTGTACATATTCACGTTCTAATTCATTCCTATGAATTAAAATTTTCGATTCGTTCTTTTTTTTTTTTTTTTGGTTAAATACTTACATCTCACTAACAGTTATATCTCGAAGAATTTGACAAAAATCAACATTCCATACAGCTTGATCATCCCATACTTTTGATGCTAACATAACTGCACCTATAAAACAAAAGAACTAGTTTTCTTTCTTTAAGATGAAATAAATTAAAATACTAACCAAGTACAATTCGTTTCCAATTCGATGGACATAAATCAAGTTCACCATAACTTAAAACACGTTCGAGATAAACCTAAAATTAAAAAGAATTATTATAAAACTCTTGTTCTCGATATCTATTTCATACATAGAATTGAATGGACTATTTTTTTTTCTGTTTATAAATATTATTAATTTACAGCAATATTTCATTTTTAACTTTCAAGAACATCATTCGAAAAAAGCATTGAAAACTAAATCAAATAGTATATATTACTTTTGTTCCGGACACCGATTCTAGACTGTGTTTTTTGTTTTTAATTGAAAATAGTCTTTCTTGTGGACATGGATATCGATCGACACCTATCGTTATTTTAATTTTTACTTACGTCTTGTGTAAATAAAAATCAAAGTAACCATGGATGGTCGTGTGATCACAAAATAATCTATATTTCGGTTGAAAATAAAAAGTCCAGTCTAGAATGAATTGTTTCAGTTATTTTGCTCAGATAATGCGATTGATCAAAATTAACCCTCGTAGTACCGACCAGGATCATTTTTGACTTCACCCTCAAAAATTTTAAAATATGCTAGAAATATTTTGTTGTTTCCCAGTTTTTAGAAGCAACTAGCATCAGATATATATAATAACAAAAAGAGAAAAAGAGGTACAAAGCGGTGGGCACTTTGTATCTTTTATGGGATGATAGGACATTGCTGCTATAAACGCTTTGATCGTCTGGAAGGCGAGAAATTCTCAATGGAATCAAGATAAAAAATATCAATATCGATTATTCCTAGAAAAATTAGGACTAGCTTTAGTATCACATCTGTTGGATTTTCCCTCAAAAA